TGAAATCTAGAGATATCAGGTCAAAATTAGTGCCATTATCAATATTTACAGCCATTGATTGGGTTAGCAAGATAAGTTGGTCCGTTACAGACTTGTTGCGTACATATGCGAATTGACCTTTACAAATTACACCCTGGGTCATCAAGTATCGAAGTGGACGTTCCGAGAGAATCTTTTCCATTAGTTTCGCTATGCATGGGAGAAGGGATATAGGTCTGTAATTGGTAGGCTCTTTGGCGCAACCTCTATTCTTGTACACCGGTATTACAGTGGATGATTTCCAGGAGGACGGGAACACACCATCATCAAGGCTGTAGTTGAACAATACTGATAGTGATTGGGAAAGGATATCTGCGAATTGCTTTAGTATACGGTTTGTCAGGTTGATGTCTGATGATGGTTTATGTTGTTGCAGCCTCTTTGCTGCATCGAAGACTTCAACAGGGCGTATGTTTCCGAATCCAAATTTGTTTCCATCGACGTCGGCTTCATTGATTGTTATACTAGTTGCTACAGTATTCGGCGGCGTTGACTGAGTGGTGCATTGGCGGGCAAAGAAGGTACACAGCGTTTCGGCCTTCGCTTGATCTGTTTTGTGAATTTCATTGCCGTTCTGCAGGTCTGGAATTGCCTTTTTATTTGTTTGGTCAATATTGCATATTGCTTTGGCACGTTTCCACCACGCATAGCCACCCTTTCTTTCCTTGCCAAGCATTGTGTATCCGAGCGTTGACAAGTATGTGTCCTTGGCGGCTCTTAATGACCGGTGGTACAGGTTGCGCGAGAGTTTGTATGCAGCTCGTAAGGAATCGTTGAGTGGCTCCTTTCGGTGGAGCACATAGAGGCGGTTAGTTCGCTGACGTTGCGTCTTAAGTTTTTTTGTGAACCATGGTTGGTTCGACTGGGTGTTTTTCCGGCGTGTGATGGTCGTTGCTGCCTGAATTGCCTGGTCCAACAGTGCAGAGTAGGCCATGCATCTGAAACTGATGTGCACGTTGGTGCCCTGCATGCATTCGGTCAATGGTAGTGTGCTCAGTTTCTGCCTGAGGAGGTGCATGTCAACCTTTCTGGAGACTGCAGCTGCGTTGACAGTACTTCTAGAGTGGCGTTTCTCTGGTGGAGAATATGCGCAAAATAGAGGACAGTGGTCTGCAATGGGCATGGATGTGTAACATGAAGTGACAAGATGGGGCATATTAGTTAAAATCAGGTCTAGGGACGGATTAGAATCTTTAGTTGGCCTCGTTCCATGGTTCTTGGAGACCATAGTGAAGCCATAGTCGTCAAAGGCGGACTGGATGTGTCTACCTGCAGTGTTCGTAGGGTCTGCGTTGTTCCACTCATTGTTCTTGGAGTTAAAGTCTCCCACGACAATTACTGGACGGTTGTCAACGAGGGGGTGAAGAGGACTGAATGAGTTGCAGAATGCAAGACTATCGTGTCTTGGAGGACGGTACATACAGGAAATGATTGTAGCTCCTGTTTCGACAGATATCATCTCTGAATTGTTGCACTCTAGATCCCGGCGGCGCATAGCACAAAGGGCGGACGAAGAGAAGACTGCTACCCCACCACCACCCAAGTCGCTCCATGTAGTGCTGCACTGGGACCGGTCACGACGGAACAGGTCGTAACCCGGTATCTTAATGATCTCGTCTGGGATACACGAATTTAGCCACGTTTCAGTTATACACAAAATGTCTACTTTATGGTGGTCAAGGAGGTCTGTAATATCAGCCAGTTTATGTTTCATACTACGACAGTTCAGGGTACATATCCGAATGCAAGAATTATTGTTATTGTTGTGGGGGGATGCGTTTACTGGTGTGGTATCAGGTGGAGGTTGTTCTCTTACAAACGTTGAGTGGGGTTGGGCACGATAGGTGCGAGGCATGAAAACTGGTGCATGGGGATTGAGTGGGAACACGGTCGTGGCTGCTGTTGAGCGGGGTTGGGCACGATAGGTGCAAGGTATGAAGACTGGTGCATGGGGGTTGAGTGGGAACAAGGTCGTGGCTGCTGTTGAGCAGGGTTGGGCACGATAGATGCGAGGTAAGAAGACTGGTGCATGGGGATTGAGTGGGAACACGGTCGATTAGTTGGTGGCTGTGGGCCTATTTGCCTCGCTGAAGTCCCATGGCCGAACCTGAATGGGCGCTGGCCAAAACCCATCTGCCTCGATGGCTGCACATTGGTCTTCACGGACTGTAAGCCTTGCAGCTTTTGTGCCTACATGCTTGCGAGAAGGAAAGGTGCGGCAAGCTGTGGGTGTGATGCCATTCTGGACACAGTGGGACGTTATGGAGTCTGCGTCGCAACTGTCATCAATATTGCCAACAAAGTATACTTTCCGCAGGGAGCCAAGAGAACCTCTCAGTTTGCGGCTGGTAACTGTAGTCCATTGTTCGTCGTGTTGCTGGTGTTGGTGGTGTTGGTGGTGCTGTTGTTGCTGCTGCTGCTTCTGGCGCTGTTGTTGTTGTTGTTGTTGTTGTTGTTGTTGTTGTTGTTGTTGTTGTTGTTGTCGCTGTTGGGGTCGTTGGTGCTGGTTAGTTTGCTGGCGGTGCTCCTGTGGGAGAGGTGGCTGCGCAGTGACCGATGGCTTGGAGGAGGGCCGAAGTGCTCCGTTGTCACTGGAGCTATTGAGCACTGATGCCCATACGCGCTGCTGGGTCGTGGATCTGGAAGTGCTACAACTATGGAAGAAGATAGTAAAAGCTATGGAAGCACATAGTAAGAGAATAGGATACTAATAACTGCGAGTAAACGGGGGGAGAGAGAGAATACGATGTATCTGTGATACTACGTGAGGATTACTGAACTGCACGGGGAGGGAGAGCAGAGCGATCAGCAGCAACTCGAACTACTCCCTACAGGCGAATGGTACACATGCATGCTTAAACTCAGGTAGCCGGGTAATTGTGCGGACCTCACCAGGAAGAGCGTTCCACAGCAGAGCACCAGCAACAGAAAATCTCCGCTGACCGCGGCGGCTACGGTTTGCCTGGCTTAGTAGGCCATTTGACTGCTGATGGCGGTAGGCCCCCGTGTAATATGGCGGCAGTTTTTGGAGCATTTTCGGCACAATCCGCGAACCCAGCACTTTGGGCTCGTGATGCAGCATCTTGGGGGAAACGGAACACTTGGCCGTGGTGTGTGTATCAAAATTGAGAGAAGAAAAACTTCCCAAACAAGAACGTCACTTCCGCATTCCGTGGGTTAGCTTCTTGTTGAGTAGTTTATGAATTGTTTACCATGGCAGAGTCGAGCAAGTCTCTGAGTATTTTCTGACTCCCTGGTTTTGACGGCATGTGCTGAGGATGACAAAAAAAGTGAGCATTTTCCGAGCATTTTCGGCACGGTTTGGGAGCATTTTCGGCAAGGTTTACGAGAATTTCCCAGAAGCATTTTCGGCAAAGTTTCGGGCATATTACACCGGGGCCTAGATGGCGGGTATGGGTGCCTTGTGCCGGGGTCAGGAGCTGGGCGAGCACAGGGTTGGTGCGGGCGTGGATGCAGCGCCAGATGGTGATCAATACTTTCTGCCTGTAGAGCTCACTGACATGGTAAGGTGATCCACGCTAGCACCCTGACTGTGCTGCAGGCTAATAAGCAGGGCCAGGCCCAGGAAGGCAAGAAACATGATTCTCATCTTGATTCGTCACACGGATCTGCAACGGGTTGAGCCATGGGGGTCTGGGGTCGAATCACGTTGTTTTATTTAAAAATACACCGCTGCCAGCAATGTAACAGGTAGCCGAGTGGTAGGCGCAGTGCAATCAACAAGAGTTAGCTTTTATTCTTCTTCTCTCAGGTACACACCTGGGACATAATTATTAGTAAAAGAAGAAGCAGCAAATAAATAGGATTTTCTCTCCGGTGCACACCTGGAGGTTGAATACTTCTTCTTCTCGGTTTTGTCGTTGCTATAAAATCTAATGAAATCAGCAATGCGCAGCAGCTTTTATGCAACAGACGCCGTACGCTTACATACGGAGATACACTGTATATACATCAGGTAAAGTTCCGTATTAGTTCCGTATTACTTCCGTATTAGCCAGGCAGGGATACTACAAAAGTTGTATTATTTGCCGAATTTTGGGTTGTCTTTTTTGCCTTGGTTCTTACTTCATGGTTTCGCGTGATTAGCGTTGTGGATAAACCCGTTCTCAGCTATATGAATACGTAAACCACTACACATATGTGTTGGCCTACTGGCTGTGGAGTTGTTCCCCTCTCAACAGAGTGCTCTCTGAACGTCCTAGCACTATTTACGGGCACACTTCTATTATTTTAGAACACGTTCAAGTAGTTCTATGTGATTGTAAGTGTGTAGCTAGAGTCACTGATAGTATTAGTACAATGTTTCCATGGTAACACCACAATGCACGCCTTCTCTTAGTTACACACTCACACTGGGTAGACATGCGGAGTATTACATGAATTTGTACACGTGCACTGTACATTATTATGTAATCTGGGACGTCGGGTTTTCGGGTACTATTCTGTACCCGTCTACCCAAGGTCCTCACCACAAGTCGTGTTTATGTGAAATAAAATTCATTACATGTACCTCTGCTACATGTGTACACTGGCAGATTATCATTTGCAGGCATCTTAGAGGAAGCTTCAGGCAGCTCAAGGCAGCTCAAGGCAGCTAAAGCCAACTAGAGGCAGCTAGACGCATCAAGAGAGACAACTTAGAGACAGCTAGAGGCAGATTAATCTTAGAGGCGGCTATAGGCAGGTAGAGGAGTAGAACCAACTTTTCTTGGTCAATACTGGCGGGCATCAGCGTCCTACAAGCAAACCAAAATGAAATCAATCCACCCAATCTCTTTGGAGCTGGGTCCAGATATACAGAGGTGCGTTGTCAAATGACAGCAGAGGTCAAGTCATCAAAAATTGAGGTCTTCGTGCATTCCTGGCTGTTTATGAAAATTGAGGTCTTCATGCATTCCTGGCTGTTTATGAAATTGAGGTCTTCATGCATTCCTGGCTGTTTATGAAATTGAGGTCTTCATGCATTCCTGGCTGTTTATGAAAAATTGAGGTCTTCATGCATTCCTGGCTGTTTATGAAACATTGAGGTCTTCATGCATTCCTGGCTGTTTATGAAAAATTGAGGTCTTCATGCATTCTTGGCTGTTTATGAAAAATTGAGGTCTTCAGGCATTCCTGGCTGTTTATGAAAAATTGAGGTCTTCATGCATTCCTGGCTGTTTATGAAAAATTGAGGTCTTCATGCATTCCTGGCTGTTTATGAAAATTGAGGTCTTCATGCATTCCTGGCTGTTTATGAAAAATTGAGGTCTTCATGCATTCCTGGCTGTTTATGAAACATTGAGGTCTTCATGCATTCCTGGTTGTTTATGAAAATTGAGGTATTCATGCATTCCTGGCTGTTTATGAAAAATTGAGGTCTTCATGCATTCCTGGCTGTTTATGAAAATTGAGGTCTTCATGCATTCCTGGCTGTTTATGAAAATTGAGGTCTTCATGCATTCCTGGCTGTTTATGAAAAATTGAGGTCTTCATGCATTCCTGGCTGTTTATGAAAAATTGAGGTCTTCATGCATTCCTGGCTGTTTATGAAAAATTGAGGTCTTCATGCATTCCTGGCTGTTTATGAAAATTGAGGTCTTCATGCATTCCTGGCTGTTTATGAAAATTGAGGTCTTCATGCATTCCTGGCTGTTTATGCCTCCCAGGATGACAGTAACCATTCTTCATTCCAAGAATAGCAGGGCAAAAGGTATTCAACAAAAGAAAAGAAAAAAAACATATTGCTAGAAACAACTTGTTCTGGGCTGCCTTAAGCTAAAAAAAGCTGGGGCCTTGTCCCATGATTCCGGACTTTAAACTCATACCAATTTGAGCTTAGACGAATTATACAAGTCAATACATTCGGGCACCGGCGCCCTACCAGCAAACTGAAGATCAAGTCAATCCGACCACTCACGTTGCTGCTGGATCTGGATATACAGAGGTCGCTTCCAAATGACAGCATTGCTCACCTTCTCAAAAATCAACGGTTTCACACATTGCTGGCCATTCACGCCTTCAAAAATGATAGTGACCACTCTCCAAGAATTGCTGGGTAAATATATCACACAAAAGGAAAGAGAAACATTGCTATAATCAACTTACCCAAGGCTGCATAAAGTTGATGACAGTTTATCCAACTTTTGGGCTTTTCCGCATTTTACACTCAAACAAATTACAGCAGAGGCATATATTTCACGGCCCTTTGACATCAGCTCATTTGCCGGGTGCAGCGTTCCGTCTTCTTGAGCATCATTCACGCCGCTATAAATACGCTGGAACCTGCTACATACACCCTGTAACAGATTCACTGTTACTACTAACACTAGGAATAGGATACACTTATCACCTGCTATTATCACGCTGCTGCTGTTAGGTGTTATGTCCATCATTGCTTGTTCATGTATATAAGAATGCATTATGGCAAGGATCATTGCTTATTCCAAGAATGACTACTGAAATTAGTTGGACTGTTACACTGGTAGCAAGAGGATGGTTTTTCTTTTCGTCATGTTCGGGCTATGCGCAGTGGCCGCATTAGTCGCCTACGGTATATTCGAGATTCAGAAGCGTCTGAATCACCTTATCGCACTCGGTCAGTGCGATGGATCAGATCAAACGCCAAGAAGTGCTCAAGCTCCCAGCGGAGAGAGGCCACGCATGCGCCATGTTAAGTCTCCGCCTGTGTTTCGTGGAGATACAAGAGAGTTCAAGGAGTGGGCCTTCGCCATCGAACTCGCCATGAAGTCCCTGCAGCTGGACAACGCGGAGGAGCGCTTGAGCTACGCGGCGAGTTTTCTGGAGGGCAATGCTCGTCTTTGGTTTATCGCCTCTCAGGAGGCAAACACGCTGTTTTCCGACTGGCCAGACCTGAAGAGCAAGCTGGGAGAAGTGTACGGCCCGGTTTATGACAGGGAACAGGCGCGCATCGACTTATTCGCTCTTCACCAAGATGAGACTCTTGACGAATACATCAACAAATTTTCGCGGCTTAGCTTACAAGTTCCCGAGCTTGATGACCACTCCAGAGCTATCTTGTTCACGCGTGGGCTGGCTCAGGGCCTAAGCGGTGAGGTACTTAGGGAGCATCCGCACCATTTGGCCCAAGCCATACGAGCTGCGGTCTCAGCAGACCAGTCGATGCGGCTAGCCCAAGCAAGCTACGCCAAGGCAGTGCGCGCACCAGGGCATCAGAGGCGCCAGCCTGGACCCTGGTCAAGCCAACCAACACCATCCGGTGGGAGAGAAACCAGGGAGCCAGAGGGTCGTTCAAGGCTGTGTTTCACCTGCAGGAAACCCGGCCATATTGCCAGATTCTGTCCAGAAGGAGGGAGGAACGCCACAAGCAAGCCTTCTTTAAACGATGGACGCCAGTAAGGAAGGGAGTGCGACTACTGGCGAACACGAGAGCACCCAGGAATAGGCCACGAATCAAAGTTCAGAACAAATTCAGCCCCTTAGCAAATGAGGAACCACGCCTCGAGGAGACCGAAATTCAAGCCTCGCCTGTCAAGCATTCGTCACCTGATACTGTTGGCCGGCCTAATGAAGTAACCGCCAGCACAGGGAGCATTTCCGCCGACAACGAACACGACCTAATGCGCGTCCAGGGCAAGATAAATGGACGTCGCGTTACCATGCTACTGGATTCTGGGTCAACCCACGACTTCATTTCAACTGACCTTGTCAAGAAGCACAACATCTCCACAACAACCGGTAGCGACGTCCTGAACGTCACACTTGCTGATGGATCGGTCCGCTCACAGCCTATTACGAAAACGGACAGCTTGAAGACCGTAGTCGGCGACTTTAGCGAGCACCAACAGTTCCTAGTATTCCCTATGACGTGGTATGACGTGATCCTCGGCAAACCATGGCTGACCCGGACGAACCCACAGATCAATTTTCGTACCAATGAAATCAAGCTGGAGGGTGGATCCATCATCTGTCAACCGAGTGAAAGTGATGGCACGGACAAATCCAACCCACCGATCGAGACGTTCCTCATCTCAGGGAAGCAGGCTAGGCATGCAATGAGAGGTGGCGCAGAAGGAATCCTAGCGTATGTGACAGCAGATCCGGACGAGCCACAGACGGTGGATAGTCCGGGTAGGGAGGATCAGAAGGATTTCAAGGACCTGCTGAAGGAGTTCGGGGACGTCTTTCCCGATGAGCTTCCAAACAAGCTGCCACCCAGAAGAGGCGCAGATCACGAGATAAAAACGGAAGAAGGAGCTAAACCGCCATCTCGTGCAGCATATCGTTTACCAAAACCAGAGATGGATGAGCTTCAAGCTCAGCTCACCGAGCTGCTCCGTAGAGGATTCATCCAGCCCAGCAAATCCCCATACGGAGCCCCTGTGTTCTTCGTAAAGAAGGCGGATGGAACACTTCGAATGGTATGCGACTGGCGTGAGCTAAACCGCATAACCATTAAGAACAAGGCATGCCTACCGAATATTGACGACCTCTTTGATACCGTCCAAGGCAGTGCGTATTTCACCAAGCTAGATCTGAGGTCCGGTTACAATCAGATTCGAATAGAAGAAACAGATATTCCGAAGACAGCAATAAATACCCCATTCGGTCACTTTCAGTTCACAGTGATGGGTTTCGGCCTAACAAATGCCCCGGCAACATTCCAAACCTTGATGAACAGTGTCCTCCAGCCATACCTGCGTAAATTCGTTGTGGTGTTTCTAGACGATATCCTCATATTCAGCAAATCATGGGAGGAGCACCTCGATCATATCAGAACCATCTTAAACGCCCTCAGGAGGAATGAGCTATATTGCAAACCGTCTAAATGTGAATTCGGCCGGACAGACGTTCTGTTTCTTGGGCACCGGATAGACGGCCAATGCATTTCTCCAGATCCAGAGAAAATTGGGGCTTGTCGCCGTGAATCTTCACTTTGCGACTAAAGTATTCACAGCAGTGCCAAAATGTCTAGGACATTGAATGTGGGTGCCAGCGGCCTACAAGCAAACAAAAAATGAAATCAATACGACCACTCACATTACAGCTGGGTCATGTTATAGAGAGATGCATTAAAATTGACAGTTGGTCAAATATGGTCAAAATTTGACAATTTCTCACCTTTCTTCCCGTTTCAAGCTCAGAACTTGAATAATGACCATCCTGATCCTGTTTTATAGCTGGACATAGGGAGTTGCACCAAGAAAAAAGCCACATTTCTCTAAACAACTCGCCCAGGGCTGCTGAAAGCTGAAAATAACCTCACTTAAAGTTTGGGGCTTGTCGCCGTGAATCTTCACATTGCGACTAAAGTATTCACAGCAGTGCCAAAAATTCCAGGTCATTAAATGTGGGTGCCAGCGGTCTACCAGCAAACAAAAAATGAAATCAATACGACCACTCACATTCCAGCTGGGTTATGTTATAGGGAGATGCATTAAAATTGACAGGAGGTCAAATATGGTCAAAATTTGACAATTTCTCGTTGTATAGCGGGACATAGACAAGAGCACCAAGAAAAACACCCACATTTCTCTAAAGAACTCGCCCAGGGCTGCTGAAAGCTGGAAAATAACCTATCTAGAAGTTTGGGGCTTTTTACCCGTGAATCTTCACTTTGCGACTAAACTATTCACAGCAGTGCCAAATTTTCTGGGTCACTGAATGCGGGTGCCAGCGCCCTACAAGCAAACCAAAAATGAAAGCAATGCGACCACTGAAAATACAGCTGGGTCATGTTATAGAGAGGTACGTTGAAATTGAAAGGTCAGCACAAATGGTCAAAATCCGACATTTTCTCACCTTTCTGCCCGTTCGCCGCTCAGAAAATGACAATGACCATCCTCATCTTGTTGTGTAGCTGGACATAGAAAATAACACCGTGAAAAAGAGCCACATTTCTCTAAAGAACTCACCCAGGGCTGCTGAAAGCTGAAAAAGAACCTATCTAGAAGTTTGGGGTTTTTACCCGTGAATCTTCACTTTGCGACTAAACTATTCACAGCAGTGCCAAATTTTTAGGGTCACTGATTTTGAGTGCCAGCGCCCTACAAGCAAACCAAATATGAAACCAATGCGACCGCTGACATTACAGCTGGGTCATGTTATAGAGGTACGTTAAAATTGGAAGGTCAGCACAAATGGTCAAAGTCCGACATTTTCTCACCTTACCGCCCGTTCGCAGCTTAGAAAATGACAATGAACATCCTCATCTCGTTGGTTAGCTGGACATAGACAAGAGCACCATGAAAAAGAGTCACATTTCTCTAAAGAACTCACCCAGGGCTGCTGAAAGCTGAAAAAGAACCTATCTAGAAGTTTGGGGCTTTTTGCCCGTGAATCTTCAATTTGCGACTAAAATATTCACAGCAGTACCAACTCTTCTGGGTCACTGAATGCGGGTGCCAGCGCCCTACAAGCAAACCAAAAATGAAACCAATGCGACCACTGAAATTACAGCTGGGTCATGTTATAGAGAGGTACGTTGAAATTGAAAGGTCAGCACAAATGGTCAAAATACGACATTTTCCCACCTTTCTGCCCGTTCGCCGCTCAGAAAATGACAATGACCATCCTCATCTTGTTGTGTAGCTGGACATAGAAAATAACACCGTGAAAAAGAGCCACATTTCTCTAAAGAACTCACCCAGGGCTGCTGAAAGCTGAAAAAGAACCTACCTAGAAGTTTGGGGCTTTTTACCCGTGAATCTTCACTTTGCGACTAAACTATTCACAGCAGTGCCAAATTTTCTAGATCACTGAATGCGGGTGCCAGCGCCCTACAAGCAAACCAAAAATGAAAGCAATGCGACCACTGAAAATACACCTGGGTCATGTTATAGAGAGGTACGTTGAAATTGAAAGGTCAGCACAAATGGTCAAAATCCGACATTTTCTCACCTTTCTGCCCGTTCGCAGCTCAGAAAATGACAATGACCATCCTCATCTCGTTGTGTAGCTGGACAAAGATAAGAGCACCAAGAAAAAGACCCACATTTCTCTAAAGAACTCGCCCAGGGCTGCTGAAAGCTGAAAAAGAACCTATCTAGAAGTTTGGGGCTTTTTACCCGTGAATCTTCACTTTGCGACTAAAATATTGCCAGCAGTGCCAACTTTTCTGGGTCACTGAATGCGGGTGCCAGCGCCCTACAAGCACACCAAAAATCAAACCAATGCGACCACTGAAATTACAGCTGGGTCATGTTATAGAGAGGTACGTTGAAATTGAAAGGTCAGCACAAATGGTCAAAATCCGACATTTTCTCACCTTTCTGCCCGTTCGCAGCTCAGAAAATGACAATGACCATCCTCATCTCTATGTGTAGCTGGACATAGAAAATAGCACCATGAAAAAGAGCCACATTTCTCTAAAGAACTCACCCAGGGCTGCTGAAAGCTGAAAAAGAACCTATCTAGAAGTTTGGGGCTTTTTACCCGTGAATCTTCACTTTGCGACTAAACTATTCACAGCAGTACCAAATTTTCTGGGTCACTGAATGCGGGTGCCAGCGCCCTACAAGCAAACCAAAAATGAAACCAATGCGACCCCTGAAATTACAGCTGGGTCATGTTATAGAGAGGTACGTTGAAATTTAAAGGTCAGCACAAATGGTCAAAATCCGACATTTTCTCACCTTTCTGCCCGTTCGCAGCTCAGAAAATGACAATGACCATCCTCATCTTGTTGTGTAGCTGGACATAGAAAATAGCACCATGAAAAAGAGCCACATTTCTCTAAAGAACTCGCCCAGGGCTGCTGAAAGCTGAAAAAGAACCTATCTAGAAGTTTGGGGCTTTTTACCCGTGAATCTTCACTTTGCGACTAAACTATTCACAGCAGTGCCAAATTTTCTGGGTCACTGAATGCGGGTGCCAGCGCCCTACAAGCAAACCAAAAATCAAACCAATGCGACCACTGAAATTACAGCTGGGTCATGTTATAGAGAGGTACGTTGAAATTGAAAGGTCAGCACAAATGGTCCAAATCCGACATTTTCTCACCTTTCTGCCCGTTTGCAGCTCAGAAAATGACAATGACCATGCTCATCTCGTTGTATAGCTGGACATAGACAAAAGCACCAAGAAAAAGACCCACATTTCTCTAAAGAACTCGCCCAGGGCTGCTGAAAGCTGAAAAAGAACCTATCTAGAAGTTTGGGGCTTTTTACCCGTGAATCTTCACTTTGCGACTAAAATATTCACAGCAGTGCAACATTTTCTGGGTCACTGAATGCGGGTGCCAGCGCCCTACAAGCAAACCAAAAATGAAACCAATGCGACCACTGAAAATACAGCTGGGTCATGTTATAGAGAGGTACGTTGAAATTGAAAGGTCAGCACAAATGGTCAAAATCCGACATTTTCTCACCTTTCTGCCCGTTCGCAGCTCAGAAAATGACAATGACCATCCTCATCTCGTTGTGTAGCTGGACATAGACAAGAGCACCATGAAAAAGACCCACATTTCTCTAAAGAACTCGCCCAGGGCTGCTGAAAGCTGAAAAAGAACCTATCTAGAAGTTTGGGGCTTTTTACCCGTGAATCTTCACTTTGCGACTAAAATATTCACAGCAGTGCCAACTTTTCTGGGTCACTGAATGCGGGTGCCAGCGCCCTACAAGCAAACCAAAAATCAAACCAATGCGACCACTGAAATTACAGCTGGGTCATGTTATAGAGAGGTACGTTGAAATTGAAAGGTCAGCACAAATGGTCAAAATCCGACATTTTCTCACCTTTCTGCCCGTTCGCAGCTCAGAAAATGACAATGACCATCCTCATCTCGTTGTGTAGCTGGACATAGAAAAGAGCACCATGAAAAAGAGCCACATTTCTCTAAAGAACTCACCCAGGGCTGCTGAAAGCTGAAAAAGAACCTATCTAGAAGTTTGGGGCTTTTTACTCGTGAATCTTCACTTTGCGACTAAACTATTCACAGCAGTGCCAAATTTTCTGGGTCACTGAATGCGGGTGCCAGCGCCCTACAAGCAAACCAAAAATGAAACCAATGCGACCACTGAAAATACACCTGGGTCATGTTATAGAGAGGTACGTTGAAATTGAAAGGTCAGCACAAATGGTCAAAATCTGACATTTTCTCACCTTTCTGCCCGTTCGCAGCTCAGAAAATGACAATGACCATGCTCATCTCGTTGTATAGCTGGACATAGACAAAAGCACCAAGAAAAAGACCCACATTTCTCTAAAGAACTCGCCCAGGGCTGCTGAAAGCTGAAAAAGAACCTATCTAGAAGTTTGGGGCTTTTTACCCGTGAATCTTCACTTTGCGACTAAACTATTCACAGCAGTGCCAAATTTTCTGGGTCACTGAATGCGGGTGCCAGCGCCCTACAAGCAAACCAAAAATCAAACCAATGCGACCACTGAAATTACAGCTGGGTCATGCTATAGAGAGGTACGTTGAAATTGAAAGGTCAGCACAAATGGTCAAAATCCGACATTTTCTCACCTTTCTGCCCGTTCGCAGCTCAAAAAATGACAATGACCATCCTCATCTCGTTGTGTAGCTGGACATAGAAAATAGCACCATGAAAAAGAGCCACATTTCTCTAAAGAACTCACCCAGGGCTGCTGAAAGCTGAAAAATAACCTATCTAGAAGTTTGGGGCTTTTTACCCGTGAATCTTCACTTTGCGACTAAACTATTCACAGCAGTGCCAAATTTTCTAGGTCACTGAATGCGGGTGCCAGCGCCCTACAAGCAAACCAAAAATGAAACCAATGCGACCACTGAAAATACACCTGGGTCATGTTATAGAGAGGTACGTTGAAATTGAAAGGTCAGCACAAATGGTCAAAATCCGACATTTTCTCACCTTTCTGCCCGTTTGCAGCTCAGAAAATGACAATGACCATGCTCATCTCGTTGTATAGCTGGACATAGACAAGAGCACCAAGAAAAAGACCCACATTTCTCTAAAGAACTCACCCAGGGCTGCTGAAAGCTGAAAAATAACCTATCTAGAAGTTTGGGGCTTTTTACCCGTGAATCTTCACTTTGCGACTAAACTATTCACAGCAGTGCCAAATTTTCTAGGTCACTGAATGCGGGTGCCAGCGCCCTACAAGCAAACCAAAAATCAAACCAATGCGACCACTGAAATTACAGCTGGGTCATGTTTTAGAGAGGTACGTTGAAATTGAAAGGTCAGCACAAATGGTCAAAATCCGACATTTTCTCACCTTTCTGCCCGTTCGCAGCTCAGAAAATGACAATGACCATCCTCATCTCGTTGTATAGCGGGACATAGACAAGAGCACCAAGAAGAAGACCCACATTTCTCTAAAAAACTCGCCCAGGGCTGCTGAAAGCTGGAAAATAACCTATCTAGAAGTTTGGGGCTTTTTACCCGTGAATCTTCACTTTGCGACTAAACTATTCACAGCAGTGCCAAATTTTAGGGTCACTAATTGTGGGTGCCAGCGCCCTACAAGCAAACCAAATATGAAACCAATGCGACCGCTGACATTACAGCTGGGTCATGTTATAGAGAGGTACGTTAAAATTGGAAGGTCAGCACAAATGGTGAAAGTCCGACATTTTCTCACCTTTCTGCCCGTTCGCAGCTTAGAAAATGACAATGACCATCCTCATCTCGTTGGTTAGCTGGACATAGACAAGAGCACCATGAAAAAGAGTCACATTTCTCTAAAGAACTCGCCCAGGGCTGCTGAAAGCTGAAAAAGAACCTATCTAGAAGTTTGGGGCTTTTTACCCGTGAATCTTCACTTTGCGACTAAAATATTCACAGCAGTGCCAAATTTTCTGGGTCACTGAATGCGGGTGCCAGCGCCCTACAAGCAAACCAAAAATCAAACCAATGCGACCACTGAAAT